AAAAAAGGAAGGAATAAAAGGAAGAAAGAACAAGAGAGAGAAAGAAAAAGAAAAAGAAGGAAAAAGAAAGAAGCCAAAGAAAAGAAAGGAAGAAAGAAAGGAAGAAAGGAAGCCCTGGTTTCTTAGGGTGGGAGAAGGGAATTTCTTAGAGCCAACCGCAGTACTGTAATATCCTTCAGTTTATTGTGGGTCTCTTTCTCTCTCTCACTTGCTGTTGGAGTGTGCACACCCCTTCCAGCTCCAGTCACTGCTTTCAAGCTGGCTTGCAGCCTTCAAGTACCTGCTGGCTATCTGGAGCTCCCAGACCAATCAGATGCCCGATTGCTTCCCTTTGCTTTCTTCTGCGCAGATGCTATTACTCAGCTTGTTTCTGTGAGGGGCTTGTGGAAACGGCTTGTCAACTACTTTTGCCGTACATGTTGCTCATGGGTTTTGCAATCCTAGCTGCTGGGATTTTATGGAGGAATTTGTGGGAAATGAAGAATCATGCCACTGCTGCTATCTTAATATCCTTTTCATAAATGTCCTCCACTGCTTAAATTAGCCAAAGTTGGCGTTTACTGCTTGCAGCTAAGAACCCAAACTGATAATGAACCAAAATGAAGCAAAAGGGGTGGTAGAAGCAACAATTTGTGACCTGATCTATTTTGACGTCTAGCAATAGCTGAGTGGATTTGTGCAACTCTTTGTTTCAAGTTTTCAGGGCTGGCGAAGGACCCCCAACTGTTAGATGGGGTCATCTCTTCATTCCCCTGCAAACTTAAAAGTGACAAACTAGGACTGAACCATGACAGATCCTTGCAGTCGGCAATGGGGCCACTGTAGACTGAGCAGGAAAGTGGGGCACAGGATTAACCTGATCTATACAGGATAGACTAGGGGTGTGAGGGAGAGCAACACCGGTGGATGAGTGGAAACGAACACATTGGGCTGGAGAGAGGTGCCAAAAGTCAAGCAGCAGGAATGCAAAGAAAAGAGACCTGAGATAATGCAAGACATCTCAACAGTACTAGGGATTGCCAGGGAGGAGTTAGCAGCTCAGGTCTCAAAGCTGATCAGAAAATAAGCCAACTAAAAGAAAGTTAGCAGGGCACAGTGGCTTATGCCTGTCATCCCAGCACTTTGGGGGGCTGAGGCGGGCGGATCACCTGAGGTCATGAGTACGAGACCAGCCTGGCCAACATGGTGCAAACACCATCTCTACTAAAAATAAAATAAATTAGCTGGGTGTGGTGGCATGCCCCTAGTCCCAGCTACTCGGCAGGCTGAGGCAGGAGAATTGCTTGAGCCTATGAGGCAGAGGTTGCAGTGAGCCGCGATCATGCCACTGCACCTAGGTGACAGAGTAAGACTCCATCTCAAAAAAAAAAAAAAAAAAGTTAATGTAACCTCACACACAAACGATCTGGAGTTTAAACTGAAAAGGTGACCCCTATATGTGACCTCACACACAAATGACCTGGAGTTTAAACTGAAAAGGGGACCCTTATCTCAGGAACGTATTCCTTACACAATTCTCATCAAATGTTTCCCAGGTAATACTTAACTGGCCTGTTAGAGAACATAGAGCTTAGCCAGGGTTGAGAGAGAGCCAGTAAGAGCTCACACTGCAGCGTTCTCACAGCTGCAGGAACGAAGGGCACGCAACATGGAAAGCCACAGATCAGCAGCCCTGGGCCCCTTGATTTCTAACTCATCCCAGGAAGCTCGCTTGGAGGAAGCCTGCTCAGTTTGCATGTTCACCACACAGGAAGCTTCACTACCATGTCTACCTTCACAATCTTCCAGGCCTCTGTCATTTTTGTGATTTACAATGTGAAACTTAACAGGCTTTACTGGAATACCTCAGAACGGGCCTGGAACATTCTCTGTAAGGCCTGTTCCGAGGAATTCCAGTAAAATGGCCTCCTATCATTTTCAAAGCAACATCCACTCTGCTACCTGTACATCTGGTGTCTACAAATGGACTTTTTTCTTTTTTTGAGACGAAGTTTCACTCTTGTTGCCCAGGCTGGAGTGCAGTGGCACGATCTCGGCTCACTGTAACCTCCGCCTCCTTGGTTCAAACGATTCTCTTGCCTCAGCCTCCCAAGTAGCTGGGATTACAGGTGTGCACCACCACACCTGGCTTATTTTTAGTAGAGATGGTTTTCATGTTTGGTCAGGCTGGTCTCGAACTCCTGACCTCAGGTGATCCACCTTTCTCGGCCTCCCAAAGTGCTGGGATTACGGGTGTGAGCCACCGCATCCCGTCTGGATCTTCTTAATTTCACACTAAAAATCTGCACTTCAAGCACTCACAACAGTTTAATATTGAATTGCCTGCTCTCTAGCTCGTCAAAAGACCAGTAGGGACTATTTCAGAATCTAACAAAAATGCCAGTTATCCCTTTTTAAGCAATACATGATGTCTACAGAAAGATCGCCATAAAGCTACAAACCTAGACATTATTACTTTTGCTCCCTGAAGAAACGTCACCATTCATTTGCCATTTACTCACTGGTATTCAACAGATGATAGAGGAATACAAGCAAATTTATGCATCTGATAAACCGGCACTGAAGACACTTTCATTTTATAGTTCAATGACCCTTAATGATAAAAATTCCTGAGTTTTGTGCCAGAGATTTTCTTTCCTTGGCAATTGCTTTGCACTTTTTAATGAGATGCAACAGGAATACACGCCCCTCTTTTAACCTTGGCGCAGGAAAGCTCAGACCTAAATTCAGTGGACCAACCAGCAAAGCACTTTCACCTGCACCCTCACCTCCCGTGTGTGGCTCCTATCCTAAGTCAAGCTGTACTCATTTATTATAGACTATCTCCAATCCACCTAGGAAGCTGGCATAAACTGTATCCAACTGCCTTCTTGCCCCTTTCCTCTATTTTGAGTTACTGTACCATTGTTACTGTTGTAGCTATGATTAAGCCACAAAAGTCCTCCTCAAAGTATAGTCCCAGAAAGCCAAGTAGGAAAACTGAAAAGCCACTACTCGACTGCTTATTTTTGGCCAAAAGGTGGTGTGGACTAGAACAAAATATAATTAGCAAGGTGATAGGGGTAATATAGATTTAAAGCAAAAACAGTAGTAAATGAAGTATTTTTCAAGGGTATTACTCTTTGTTAGAAGGTGCCAAGGTTGGGCTAAGTGGTCACAGGACCATTCCAGACTCTGTACTGACTTTGGCACCTGTTCATTACCCCGGGCCCTTCTGGAGAGCTGTGATACAGTGAAGCGAACATAGGAGGGACAGTGGTGTTAGCCTGGATTCAAAATCCAATTCCAGCACCAACGGGCTGTGCAACCTTAAGCAAAGTCCTTATCTGAGACCGTTTCTTCCTTTGGAAAATGGGTACTAATTCAAGATCCAACCTAAAGAACTCAGTGCAGTGCCAAAAATGCACCTCGCAGGCTGACTAGAAACACTCTTCCCCCTTCACACACTACCTTTGTCTTCAACCCTGCATTGCCCTCTGCCATTTTACCCAGGTCTTAATGAAACCTCGATTAACATGACTTCCCATGTGACCTCTAGAATCCTTGTTTTTCCTATTCAAACCCATCTAGACTTGCTTTCCACAAACACACTGCTGTTTACCATGACTCTCAGGGCCTGCTACATTGTCTAGCCTCTGTGGTCTCTTATAATGACGATCCCTCTGCTCCAGCCAGTGAATTGACATTTCTTTTTTTTTTTTTTGAGACGGAGTTTCGCTCTTGTTACCCAGGCTGGAGTGCAATGGCGCGATCTCGGCTCACCGCAACCTCCGCCTCCTGGGTTCAGGCAATTCTCCTGCCTCAGCCTCCTGAGTAGCTGGGACTACAGGCACGTGCCACCATGCCCAGCTAATTTTTTGTAGTTTTAGTGAGACGGGGTTTCACCATGTTGACCAGGATGGTCTTGATCTCTTGACCTCGTGATCCACCGGCCTCGGCCTCCCAAAGTGCTGGGATTACAGGCTTGAGCCACCGCGCCGGCCTGAATTGACATTTCTAAGAACCAATTAATGTCCCTCCTCCCTCAAAAAGCGATCCCAACTACTCTCACCAACTGAACTTGATCTGTTAATACAGCAATTAATATCCAGATTACAACTATTTGGCTCTTGTATATGCTTAACTTGATGAATTACTTGTTTTCTAAACTAGATCATCGATTTAAGAGGGGGAGACCACATCCTATTTCCCTATACCTGTCTTCTTTTTTGTTTAAGACAACCTTGCTCTGTCACCCAGGCTACAGTGCAGTGGCACGATCTCAGCTCATTGCAACCTCTGCCTTCCAGGTTCAAGCAATTGTCCCATCTCAGCCTCCTGAGTAGCTGGGATTACAGGCATGTGCCACCATGCCTGGCGAATTTCAATCTCACTGTCGCCCAGGCTGCAGTGCAATGGCATGATCTCGGCTCACTCCAACCTCTGTCTCCCGGGTTCAAACAATTCTTCTGCCTCAGCCTCCCAAGTAGCTAGGATTATAGATGTGTGCCACCATGCCTGGCTAATTTTTATTTTTAGTAGAGACAGGGTTTCACCATGTTGGCCAGACTAGTCTCAAACTCCTGACCTTGGTGATCCACCTGCCTTGGCCTCCCAAAGTGCTGGGATTACAGGCATGAGCCACGCGCCCAGCCAATACTTTGTATCTTAAATAAGTGCTAAAACAGGGATTCACCCTCCAGTATGAGGAGCCCAGCTTGGTCCCCCTGACGAATCAAGTGACCTCAGTTGTAGTGGCCTTTGGCACATCCAACTAGTGTAAGCCAGGTGTGATTAGGATCGTGGCATCTCCTATTTTGGTACTAGGATGATTCTGCTTTAGGATCTCAGCTAATTCTGTTTTTTATGTAGTTTCTTAGCAAAGACATTTCTTGAAATTGCCTTCCAGTTTTCCATAGGTTGACAGCAATGTCCCATTTTTGTCACTCTTTTAGTCTATTCCACATTTTTTCCCGAAGTAATCCCCAACTCCATAAATAAATGAAAACCAAACCACACAGTTGGAAATCAAGTTTTGTTTTTATATGAACAGAAGTAGACCATCTAGAAATATTTCAGTTTATTTAAATTGTTAAGTAGAATATGAAACCGAATTTGTAGCTAGTACCAGAGAATGGACTTAACTGTTTGGTGTTTAGTGAGAACAGCTTCTACACAGGATCCCAAGAGACTCACAGAAAAGGGGCAAAGCCCTAATATTAAGCAAATAAAACTCATGTTTCAAACAGATTATACAAAAATTTATACTTCATTTCCCTTTTTTGATATTTAGAAAGTGCAGATTTAACAAAAGGTAGCCATATCCTTTCTATGTACAATGCCGATTATAATTACGCAAACAAAGCTGTCAGTCTGTTATCCAAAAATCCCAGTGTTTAGCTCTCAAACCTTAAGTCATGGAATTGAATAAGAATTAAAGAGGGTTAAAATAAAAAAAGCTAATGCCACATTCCAGATAAAGGGAAGCAACAAATACATTAATCTAACAACAATAGGTTTAACCTAAACTTTTCAAAAAGCTTAACATCATTTCATTGTTTTTTTAGTGGAAAATTAGGGATTATTTGGCAATGCTGCTTTTTACTAGTAGTAAACAATGATAAAGTCAAGTGCGGGAACAACCTAAGAATAACCACCAGTGAGCATATAAAATTGTTTTTAGGGCACTATCTGAAAAATTTGTGGATTTTCATAGCAGATACATCCCTATGTTGTTTGCTTATGTGAGCCAAGAGGTCATTAAAATGCTATTCACGACACAGAAAGACTTCTCAATGGAAGCTGCTGTCCTAAACTCAGCCTCTGCTAGAAATGAATCATGCTATTCACAATTCTTTCAACAAAGGTATCATCTTAGGATGCTAGCAGCATAGCAAACTTAATTTACCCTACCCTAATGATAAGCAATGAAGCAAAACTAGAAAAAATGCAGTGAAAAAAGGACAGGGTTGGCGATAGCTAGAGATCTTATCTTTACATGAAAAGCCTTTTGTTGTCCTTTTCCCAAATCCATGGTAATACAAGTTTCCCAAAAGGATGTGAAGATAGGACTTAGAATTAATAATGTTCTAAAGTATTTCTAAATCTTAAGGTAAAGACAACTTAACACTGAAAAAGTGTTCTTCAGAGGCCAAATCTCAATACATTTGGCAAACATGTCAATAAAATTCACTCCTCCTTTTTTTTTTTTTTAAAAACAACCTGTACTGGGCTACCAAACTGCTAGAGGAGTTGCCAAAATGGAGACTACTGAAATTTAGGTTCAGAGATTCATTCTAGGAAAGTGAATAGGCTATACACCTAATTAGAAAGACAAACCACAACACCCTCCAAACACTAGTGCATGCAGCTAACTCTTCCATTTCATAAACTCAGTGGATACACAGGAAGGGAAGAAAGAGAGGAGGAAAAGCAGAACATAGAAGTAAAACAGCGAATGAAGGAATCTGGGGCAGGTTTTAGGGCAGAGAGCAAATGAGGGGGAAGACACCAATTAACTGACATAGGAGAGTAGGCAGTTAGAACTTATCTTCCCGTTTACCTACCAAGTTACATCAGTGCTTTATATTAAACTTGACGAACCTACTAGTTTGTCCCTTTCACTCTTAAATAACTCATACCATGAGGTCGTGGGGGAGGGAGAAGCAAATAAAGCAGCATGCAGAAGGGAGACATAAGGAAAAAGTGGCCAAGGAGAAGAAATGGTGGCAGGAGTAGTTTCAAATATCAAGGCCACTTAAGACTCAGCAAACCAAAGCTATCATTTCTGCATTACCCTTTGTCCTCAATTAACTACTTTGAAAATTACAGCCAAGCAAACCACAAACATTTTAATGGTTATGTTTGGATGATATGTCTCCTGCACATGCTTCCACCAGAACAAAAAAGGAAAACCAAAGAAGTTCCTTTCCACATAAGGCACAGGACAAAATTAATCCCATTTACATAGTCAAGGCGAAAATGAGTGTTTTCCTGGCTTTTGTTTGTTTCTTTTGCTATCACATGTCTATAGATTATAGGGACTCAAGCACATTATCCATGACAGAAAATTCCACTGTTGTACAAAATAAAATTGTTAATTCTACCTTTATTCTTGTACAATTTGCAGAATAGAGTTGAAATGATTGCTATAGGTTTTAACGTTGGTAAGAACTGGACTATAATACAACTGAAATGCAATGGTGAGCTAAGCAAGTACATTTAAAAATGAAGTCACAGACATGATTTTTCTATACATTTTTTTGTTTGTTTGAAGAAAATTATGATAAAGTCAGCAAGCAGTCACAGATGAAAGAACAAATAAAATAGGTGGCTTGGATAGTTAAGATGAGAAACAAAAATATCTGTTTAGAGTTAAAAATGGACAGAGTGGTTTATTTTGCAGCAAGAAGAGAAAACGGGGCGGTGGATGGCAACTGATGGACAGGAGAATGCTCAGCAACATTTGCTCTTCCAGCCTGTCACGCCTCCTCCACTGCTGATATCTACATTTTCACTGTTGGGCTCTTTTACAGGGGTCTGCAACACACACACAAGGAAAATAACCGATGAAAAATACTGCCATGGATAAAATCAAGATTCAACAGAAATATTCTCATAAATGTCAATTTATGCAACAAAATATAATTACAATCACATGAGATAGGTTCCCCTCCATGCAAAGCAAAGATCTGGAAGCTTTGTTTTGATCTTCATTTTGCCTGCTTCCTCCAAGCTGTGAAATATTGTAGACATCTCCTGGCATCCCTTTATAAAGTTTCTGAAATCTTCTCTGCTCTAACTCTTAAATAGATTTTGTTATCTTCTAGCCCTGACCTCTGAATATGTTTAGTACTTAAAAGGCATTGTGAAGCAAGCTGTATAAAACCAATGTTGGGTATGTGTAATGTCACAGAAACAAAACAGTTCTTTTCTGTTTAGTTATCTGCCTTTTTAGACTAATTTTGTTATTGTACCATAGTTTTTAAAAGGCACTCTCAACTATGATTAAGTAAAATGGGGTGGAGCAAGATGTAGTTATCTAATTCATGTTAAAAATGGTTACAGATGGCTAAGTACGGTAGCTCATCCCTGTAATCCCAGCACTTTGAGAGGCCCAGGTGGGAGGATCGCTTGATGCGCCAGGAGCTAAAACCAGCTTGGGCAACATGGCGAGACTCCCATCTGTATAAAAAATTTTTTAAATTAGCTGGACGCACTGGCTCAAGCCTGTAGTCCAGCTACTTAGGAGGCTGAGGCAAGAGGATCACTTGAGCCCAGGAGTTCAAGGCTGCAGTGAGCTAAGATCACTCCATTGCACTTCAGCCTGTGCAAAAAAGCAAGAGACTAAGACTCCTCCCAACCCCCCAAAAAAGACACAGAAAAATCCCAAAGGAGATACAACAAAACACTAACAGCAGCAACCCTTAGGTGGTAAAATTATGGCTGATTTTATTCTTTGTTTTTGTTTTTTGAGATAGAGTCTCCCTCTGCCACCCAGGCTGGAGTGCAGTGGCGTGATCTTGGCTCACTGCAACCTCCGCCTCCCAGATTCTAGCAATTCTCCTGCTTCAGCCTCCTGAGTATCTGGGACTACAGATGCATGCCACCACACCCGGCTAATGTTTTGTATTTTAGTAGAGATGGAGTTTCACCTGTGTTGCCCAGGCTGGTCTTGAACTCCTGAGCTCAGGCAATCCACCTGCCTCAGCCTCCCAAAGTGCTAGTAGAATAACAGGCATGAGCCACCATGCCTGGCTGATTTTATGTTATCCTTAGTATAATTCTGTTTTTTCCTAACATTAAATATTACTTTGAAAATCAGAAAGGCTGGGTCTGGTGGTTCATGCCTATAATCCCAGCACTCTGGGAGAGGCTGAGGTGGGTGGATCACCTGAGATCATGAGTTTAAGACCAGCCTGGCCAATATGGTAAAACCTGTCTCTACTAAAATTACTAAAATTAGCCAGGTGTGGTGGTACACGTCTGCAATCCCAGCTACTCAGGAGGCTGAGGCAGGAGAATCGCTTGAACCCAAGAGGTGGAGGAGGCTGCAGTGAGCAGAGACTGTGCCACTGCACTCCACCCTCAGCGACAGAGTGAGACTCCATCTCAAAAAAAAGAAAGAAAGAAAAAAGAAAATCAGAAGAATACAGTATTTTAAAAGGGTAGGCCCATACTTTATATATAAAAAATATTTTTAAAGTGATAACTTACAGAAAAGTACATAAAGCTGAAGTGTAAGCCTGATATATTTTTAGTATATATTGGCAAACTACCAGATCAGGATATAGAACATAATATTCCCAATAAGGCTCCCTTTCCTGCCAGTACTGCTCTCTTCAAGCTACCCAATATTCTGATTTCTAGCATCTAAGATTAGTTTTTTCCTGTTCTTAACATTCACATACATGGAACCATAGTTGAACATATTCTTTTGCATCTGACTTCTTTCACTCAGTATCAAGTCTCTGAGATTTACCTATGCTGTTGTATAAAACGGTAGTTCATCACAACATTTTGAAAGCTAGGATGTACCTGAGAACTTATTCTCTCATGTAAACAATATAAAGTTAAGGGCTTGTGTAGCCCAAGGGGGAAAAAATTAAAATATTTTACAATATCAAGCAGCCTAAGAGAAGCCTATTTAATTCATGGGTGACATTGCGACTTGCCCTTAGATCTCACCTACCTACTCCAGATTCTTCTCCTCCCTGTATGTTAAAGCAGCAAATTATGCATTAAAAAGACCTTTGTGGGGTTTCCTGAATAAGTGACTTTGCTCCTAATACAGATCTTTGAGAAAAACGTAAAGAAGAATAAGAGGCAGACCAGTACCCAGCAAGAAAAAAGTAGAGTTGCATTGGAAATACTCTGTCTCTGGGAACTTCTACGTATGGGTCAGGTTCAATACACATAGGTAACCAGGAAGGCCCCTACGTTGATTTTCTTAGCATCTCACTGTCTTTTTAGAATTTAACTTAGATCCTTGAAACAGACTCTAAAAAAGGGTATCTCTTGCAAAGCAAAATCTTTTAGAGTCAAAATATTAATTTATTAAGTTGAAGTTGAGTTTTAATTAAGTTTATTAAAAGTTTTAAGCTGGCTCCCAGTTAAGAATAAGAAAAGGCCAATCACCAATAGAAAAATTGGGCAAAGGAATAAACAAAAATATTTACAGAAAAGGAAATGTAAAAGTGATTCTTAAACATATGTTTTTAGGTCAGGCACAGTGGATCACACCTGTAATCCCAGCACTTTGGGAGGCCAAGGCAGGTGGATCACCTGAAGTCATGAGTTCGAGGCCAGCCTGGCCAACATGGTGAAACCCTGCTTCTACTAAAAATACAAAAATTAGCTAGGTATGGTGGCGGGCGCCTGTAATCCCAGCTACTCGGGAGGTTGAGGCGGGAGAATCTCTTGAACCCGGGAGGTAGAGATCGCAGTCAGCCGAGATGATCTCATGGCACTCCAGCCTAGGCAACAAGAGCGAAATTCCATCTCAAAACAAACAGACCCACCTACCTACCTATGTTTTTGAATGCTCAGCCTTATTCAGAAATTACCTGCAAATTAAATCTACATTTTTTAACCTGTTAGACTAGGAAAGATCTGAGTCTTGTAAATTCACTGTGCTGGCCAGGGTGTGAGTAACATTCTCACATATGGCAAGTGGGTGTGTAAATGGGTATAACCCTCAGGACAGACTTTGGCAGCATCTATCAAAATTGCAAATGTATGTACATATATGCTCTTTGGCCAGTTCTCAGAATCTGTCCTTCAAATGTATGTGCATGTGGGAAATAATTTAAGATTACGTACCACAAACTCAGCTTATGTGTAAATAAGTTTGAAAATAATTTAAATGTCCCTCACTGGGAGACTTGTTCAATTATTATATAAATATTCAAAGGAACAGCATATAATTATTTAAAAAGTAAAATTATTTTACTTATAGTAAGTGAAGAAAGCAAAGTGACACTCAGTGGAGTGTGTTATCTGTTAGAAGTAACAGGTTATGGGGCAGGGGAGTGGGATAAAAACATATTCATATTTACTCAGACTAATAACTGAGAAATCAATTATATCTGTTACTGGGGGAGTGGGGGAAATGAGGAATTGGCAGCTGCTATTGCGGGAATTAAACGGAACATGCTGGGAAATGTCTGTATTCTTTTTTTTCCATTTTAAACGTTTGAAGCAAGAGAATGAATTACGTAGCCAAATAATTATGTTAAAAGATGTTTTAAATTGCTTTCATTCTAAGTTAATTCTAACACGAAGCAAGTTTACATTTGCTGTTTTAACTCATAACTTCACCACATTAAAGTGTATGAAAAAAAACTGCTACCTAGTATTTGGGCCTGCTTACTTGGGGAAAACTCTAGACCAAGCTGGTCCAACCTGCAGCCTGCATGTGGCCCAATACAACAAATTTGTAAACTTTGTTAAAACATTATTAAGATTTTTGTGTGTGTGGTATTTTTTTTTTTAGCACATGAGCTATGGTTAGTGTTAGTGTATTTTATGTGTGGTCCAAGACAATTCTTCCAGTGAGACCCAGGGAAGCCAAAAGATTGGACACCCCTGTGAGTCTAGACTGAGATCTTTATTAGTATATTCATACTTTAAGCTTTAATAATGACAAGGAAAGCTCTACCTCACTGGGGCATGAAATTATATATATAATGACTATATAGCACTATTTAAAAAAAAAAAAAAAATAAAAAAAAAAAAAAAAAGAGCCAAGACTGGTGAGAAGATCAAAGGACATAGTATAAACAGCAAGTAAGCAGAGCTGGGCACGGTGGCTCACACCTGCCATCCCATCACTGTGGGAGGCCGAGGCAGGCGGATCATGAGGTAAGGAGTTCAAGACCAGCCTGGCCAATATGGTGAAACCCTGTCTCTACTCAAAATACAAAAATTAGCCAGGTGTGGTGGTGGGTGCCTGTAATCCCAGCTATTTGGGAGGCTGAGGCAGGAGAATCACTTAAACCTGGGAGGTGAAGGTTGCAGTGAGCCGAGATCATGCCGATGCACTCTAGCCTGGGCAACAGAGCAAGACTCTGTCTCAAAAAACAAACAAACGGTAAGCAGAAACCCTGAAGACCATTTAAAACTATAACAGATTAGGGCCGGGCGCGGTGGCTCAAGCCTGTAATCCCAGCACTTTGGGAGGCCGAGGCAGGTGGATCACAAGGTCAAGAGATCGAGACCATCCTGGTCAACACGGTGAAACCCCGTCTCTACTAAAAATACAAAAAATTAGCTGGGCATGGTGGCGCGTGCCTGTAATCCCAGCTACTCAGGAGGCTGAGGCAGGAGAATTGCCTGAACCCAGGAGGTGGATGTTGCGGTGAGCCGAGATCGCGCCATTGCACTCCAGCCTGGGTAACAAGAGCGAAACTCCGTCTCAAAAAAAAAAAAAAAAAACTATAACAGATTGACAGACTCATAACCGGGACTCATAACCAAACCCATGCATTATATCTAGACACTTAAGGGAAAATATGAAAATCAGATTTCCTAATTTGGCTATATGTTACTTACACTAACAAACATTGAGTCACAAATCTTAAACCCAAAAATAAACCTGAGGTAAAATGAGAATTCCTCAAGATCACATTTTCAATATTATTTATTTTCTGACATAATACGTTTCATTCCGTCCATACAGACTATGTGCATGCCCTTTATTTGCCTGAGAAGTGACTATATGGCAGAAGAGCAATTCTGTGGCAATAACTACATAACAGTCATTTCTTATCTTAAAATTTCCTAAATTATCTATGAGAATGCAAAGGACTCATTAACAGAAATGAGTCCAAGAGTAAAAAAAGCTAGGAAAGATAAAAGGCTAGAAAAAATAAGGGAACTAGGGACTAGATAGTGAATGTGGAGCTAAGAATATTGTTACCACTGACTAGATCTTCAGATTTCTACATGGCTTTCTATTTCCCCAGTTCCGTATAGCAGAAGTCCCCATGGTGATCTGCGGTGGGGTAATTTCATCGAGAAACTACCCTCCAGTACGGTCCATGGAAAAATTATCTTCCATGAAACCAGTCCTTGGTACCAACAAGGTTGGGGACTGCTGCCCTACAGAAACAATACCACCCAAACTCAAATCTGTATGTAAATTCAGTACTTCAGAACAGACAAAATATTCAACAGAGACACTCAGGTGCCCGGCAGGAAATAAAAGTAGGAACTTACCTTTCGAAGGATATCTTCAGCTAACGTGAGGAACGCCTTTTCGATGTTTATATTTGCTTTTGCACTAGTCTCAAAAAACCTAATACCATGCTCCCTTGCAATCTAAAACAGAAACAAAATATCATAAAATTATCAAGCATGGGTTGCCAACTGCTGACTTTAACATCTTAAATATTAATCTTATTCTGAAGGCAGTGATCCCAACTAGAATATGTAACACAGATTATTTCAGCAAGTCAAACTCTTTCATAAAACACACAAAAGAAAAGTAATTAAAATAATCCTCTCCTTACCCCAAAAGTTTATTTCAGATATTCTAAATTAGATATTTTACTCTGGGACAAACTTAAGAGAAGCTCAACATGACTTCTCAGGGTCTAATTTCTGCTCATCACAGACTCTAGATTGTCACATTTTAGAACCATACTAATTGATACAATTCCTTAAAGTCCTAAGTTTAAAAACTGAGGATTACTGACTTATGTTTTTCTTTCTTTGTAGTTTAAATAAGGCTAAAAATATTATGGACACATTTTATTCTCCCATATATGTTAAATAGGCACTGAAAAAAGTTCACTCAAATGACAAAATATTATTTCCAACAAGCATTTTAAAAACTATGTAATTAGCTCAGTGCATTCCATCACTATTACTATTATCATTACAAAGGGCAGAATATTTGTTTCATTCAGATTTTTACCTGTTCTCCTTTTCCTTTAGGTACAACTCTTTTGTCATCCATGTCACATTTGTTTCCTAGTAACATTCTTTCCACATCTTCATTGGCATGCTAAAATGAAATACAATTTTACTTTTACACACTACCATGAATTATGGTGTAACAGTCTTCAAAAGTGATTTTATTCTCTCAATTTAGAGTGTCATTTCTATAGAAAGCAGTCACCCTAAAATCCACCCCATGCTAAAAGCCTACACAAATTATTCGATTACCTAGCAAAAGAGACACAATTCCCAAGACATATCCATGTCAAATACTATTTCCTCCCTGAAGGAGGCTGTCTGCTTTCTAGGTGTATTCTTTCTCACCAAAAGAGATGATACAGGCAAAGAAACTTGCATAATCTAAAACCAGGCTGGATCATTTCAGATTTTATAATGCATACTACCCTACAGAAGTCTTAATTAAAAGTTTTCCAGAGCCCTTAAAGTCTCAAGTAGCTGCACTGCTATGGCACAAGGAGGTCCATGCAGAAAAATGAGTTAAAAACAAGTAGTTATCCCCTTAAAATTCCAAAGACAATATTTGCAGAAATAGAAAGATCTATCCAAAAATTCATATGGAATCTGACATCAAAATAATCTTTTTTTTTTTTTTGAGACAGAAATTCATCTGTTGCCCAGGCTGGAGTGCAATGGCATGATCTCGGCTTACTGCAACTTCCGTCTCCTGAGTTCAAGTGATTCTCCTGCCTTAGCCTCCTGAGTAGATGTGAGTAGCTGGGACTACAGGCGTATAACACCACGCCAGCAAATTTCTGTATTTTTAGTAGAGGTGGGGAGATTCGCCATGTTGGCCAGGCTGATCCTGAACTCCTGGACTCAAGTGAACCACCCACCTCAGCCTCCCAAATAGTTGGGATTACAGGTGTGAGCCACTGAGCCCAGCCAAAATAACATTAGCTGGGGGAGTCAGATTTCAGAACTTACTGCAAATCAAAAAGTGTGGAACTGGCGTAAAGAAAGATACACAGACTAATGAAATGGAATAGAGAGCCCAGAAATGAACCCTCACATACTTAGTCAAGTGATCCTCAACAAGGATGCCAAAAGCAGTCAATAAGGAAAGGACAGTCTTTTCAATAAACAGCTCTAGGAAAACCAGATATCCACATGCAAAAGAGTGAAGCTGGATATTTATTTCAAACCATATATAAAAATTAACTCAAAATAGATCAAAAACCTCAAAATATAAAACTCTTAGAAGAAAACACAGAGAAAAGCTTTAGGACACTGGATTTGGCAATGGTTTCTTTGATATGATATCAAAAGCACAGGCAATAAAAGGAGCAGATAAATTATACATCATCAAAGTTAAAAACTATTGTGCAACAAAGGACACTCTCAAGAGAATGAAAAGGCAACCAACGAAAAGGAGAAAATATTTGCAAATCATGTATTTGAAAGGGAATAATACTTAGAATATATAAAGAACACCCAAAACTCTTAACAGCAAAAAATGACAGCACTTTGGGAGGCTGAGGCAGGAAAATCACCTGAGTCCAGGAGTTTGAGATTAGCCTGAGTAACACTGTGAGACCTCAACTCTACAAAAAATTTAAAAAATTAGCCAGGCATGGTGGTGTGTGCCTGTAGTCCCAGCTACTTAGGAGGCTGAGGTAGGAGAATCACTTGAGCCTGGGAAGTTGAGGCCGCAGTGAGCCATGATCATGCCACTATACTCCAGCCTGGGGAATAGAGCAAGACCCCGTCTCAAAAGCAAACTAAGGATTTGAATAGACATTTCTCCAAAGAAGATATACAAACAAACAATATGTACATGAAAAGATGCTCAATATCAGTAACATCAGGAAATGTAAATCAAAACCACAATGAGATACCACTACATACCCATTAGTATGGCTGCTATTAAAAAAACAAAACAAAACAAAACAGAAAACACATGTTGGTGAGGATGTGGACAAACCAAAACCTTTGTGTACTGTTGGTAGGAATGTATAATGGTGCAATCACTGTGGAAAAGTCTGGTGATTCCTCAAAAGGTTAAACAGGATTATCATATGATCCAGCAATTCCACTTATGGGTATATACACAAAAGAATTTAAAGCAAGGACTCAGATATTTGTACACCAGCGTTCACAGCGACATTATTCACAATGTAAAAGGGAGAAAACAAACCCACATATCCAACAATGAGTGAATGAATAAACAGAACATGGCATATAAAAACAATGGAGTATTATTTAGCCTCAAAAAATAAAGTTCTGACACATGCCACAATGTAGATGAACCTTGAAAACTTTAGGTTAAATGAAATAAATTACTTACAAATGAACAAATACCATATGATTCCACTTATATGAGGTACCTGTAACAGTCAAATTCATAGAAAATAAAATGGTGACAGTTGCCAGGAGCTGGGGAAAGGGGAGACAGCAATATTGTTTAATGGACGCAAAGCTTCAGTTCAGAAAGATGAAAGAGTTCTGGAGATGGATGGTGGTGATGGTTGCACAACAGGAGAATGTACTTAACTCCACTGAACTATACACCAAAATAATGGATAAAATGAAAATTTTATGTTGTATGTATTTTACCACAATTTTAAAAAGTATTCAAAAACAACAACAGGCTGAGCACGGTGGCTCATGCCTATAATCCCAACACTGTAAGGGGTCGAGCGAGGCAGGAGGATCACTTGAGCCCAGGAGCTCAAGGCTGGAGTGAACTATTATCACTGCCACTGCACTCCAGCCTGGGAAACAAAGCAAGACTGTCTCAAAGAAAACAATCAAAAAAGCAACAACAACAAAAACAACAACAAAACTGCCAAGTGGCTGCAGTTACAAGTTATAAAATATGCTAATTTAAAACAACATACAGTTGACCCTTGAACAATGGGGGTAAGGGGATGCCATGTATAACTTTTGACTTCCCCAAAACTTTACTACTAACAGCCTACTGCTAACTAGAAGCATTATCAATAACATAGTCGATTAACATATATCTACACTGTATTCTTACCACAAAATTAGAGAAAAGAAAATGTTACTAAGAAAATCATAAGGAAGAAAAATATATTTACTATTCATTAAGTGGAAGTGGATCATCATAAAGGTCTTCATCCTCAAATGTCTTCAAATTGAGTAGGCTGAGGAGGAGAAAGAGGAGGGGGTTGGTCTTGCAGTCTCAGGGGAAGCAGAGGCAGAAGAGGTAGAGAAGGTAGAAGGGGAGGCAGGCACACTCAGTGTAACTTTAGGGAAAAACATTGTAATTTCTGTATTTTTTGCCTTTTCATTTCTTTAAAAATATTTCTATACAAAACCAATCCTTCTTCCATGATTTGCTTCAGTTTCAGTGCCTGTATCATGTAACGGTCCATGTTTGTACAGTAAGTCTCAAGCAGTCTTGAATAATCAGAACCCTTCTGCCAGATTGCCTAAAGTCAATTTGTTTTCTGGCACTACTTCTGTTATCTTCTTCCTTATTGTCTAGCATTGGTTTGGAAAAACCGGCATCTTCATTAAGTCGTCTTCTGTTGATTCCTCTGGTTGGTGTCTATTAGCTTTTGTCTTATCCATAGCCTCTTTCATAAATTCCTTGACTGGCTCTGCTACAAATCCTGTGAAATCATGCTCAACATCGGGACACAGTTTTCTCCAGGAGGAAGCTATTGTTTTGTGCTTGATGGCTTTCATGGCTTTTTCTGTAACGATGGCATCTTCAGTGGTGTAATCCCTCCAGATTTTCACGTTCTATTGAGGTTAGAGTACCGTGTGTTATTAACCTTAAAGGTCCTCATGACCCCCTGATCTAGATGCTGAATTAGAGACACTGTGTTTGGAGGCAAAAAGACCACTTCGATGCTTTTGGTGTTAAACTCATGGGGTTCTGGGTGGCCAGGGGTACTCTCCAATATCAAAATAACTTAAAAGGCAGTCCCATAATGGCAGCAATCCAGAAAAAGGATTCTCAATGTTCAGGTCTTCTTGTTGAATGATCAAAAACCTGGCAGCTTTTCCCTTCAAGTCTTGGGAGTTAGCAACTTTATATATAAGGGCAGTCAGTCCTGATCATAAACCCAACCGCATTTGCACAAAATAGTAGTTAGCCTATCCCTTCCTGCCTTAATTCCCTGTGCTTTTTTCTTTTCCTAACACATGTCCTTTGTGTCCTCCTCTACCACCCAAGAATAGGACACTTTTGACTGCATTAAACATCTGTTTGGGCAGATATCCTTTTTCCTGAATGATTTTCTTAATGGTGCTCAGGAACTCGTCTGCTGTCTCTTAGCAGAAGCTGCTTCTCCTGTTATCCTGCCATTTTTAGGCCAAATCTCTTTCTAAAATTATCAAACCATCTTCTGCTGGCTTTAAATCCTCTAGCTTTACTTTTGTTTTGCTTTGGCATTTAATGACTTCACATTTTCTTGAATATTACATTCAAGAAAAGTCTACAAGTATGCCTTTCTTATAGCAATCCTGTACCCACATAAAAGCTGCATTTTCAACATGAGATAAAAAGGTATTTCATAAAACGTGCAAGGTTTTTACACCTCCTGCTGTAGTTGCAGTGATGGCTTCACAGATTTTCTTTTATTTAAAATGGTCCTTATGCTGGATTAATTTATCTTGAAATAACGGGCAACCACAGCTGCAGACCTCACTCTACAGCACATATCAAGCAATTCAACTTTTTCTTGTAATGTCATGATTTTTCTCTGCTTCTCAAGAGTGCTTCTGGCATCACTAGTAGCACTTTGTATAGGTCGGATGGTGTTATTCAAGGTTTATGGTATGGCACTAGCACAATGAAAACAAGCAAGAACCACAAGAGATCACTTTTGATTGCAATATGGGATTTACTGGAGACACAAACTGTTCATGGGGAGATGATCCGCATCAGATGGTGTTTCAAGCAGACACTTGCAACATATGAGCTCACCAAATTAGCAACAGGAGGTGGCTACAAAATTATCACAGTAGTACAGTATGTATTATGGTTATTTTTATGCAGTTGATTTAATACTGTATCTTTGTTTACATTTCTCTTGACTGCAAAAGATGCCATGTATGAACTCTGTTTGTATG